TACAATTTTCCAAGATTGGAACACTTCTTTGTTCCTCGTTGGTTGACCGGATAACAGAAGAAAATTGTACGGACGTTTGTCGACAACTCCTTGAGCATTCCAATGACGATGAAACAGTCATTCAAAGGATTATAACGGGATACGGAAGCTGGGTTTACGGCTACGACGTTGAGACAAAAGTCAAATCATCACAATGGATTGAAAAGGATCTTCACGCCCCAAGAAAGCACGTCAGTCTCGATCCAATGTCAAAGTGATGCTCACTGTCTTTTTCGATTTTAATGGAATTGTAAATTTTGATATCTTGCTCAAGGTAACCAGACCAGACCAGAGCTGAGATTGTTCTTGCACCATGATAATGCACCCACACTTAGCTTTGTCACTTCGTCAGTGTTGTGCAAAAATCAGATTACTGTCCTCCCTCACAATCCTTACTCGCCATATCTGGCTCCCTGTGATTATTTCTTATTTCTGAAATTAAATTCAGTGCTGAAAGGATGCCGTTTTCAAACTACTGATGGCATCAAAGAAAATTCGTCACAGGTTTCAAAGGCGATTTCAAATAAAGCTATCCAGAACTGCTTGGCAAAATGGAATACTTTGAAGGAGACACGGACCAAAAATAAAATGTATAAAATTGATAATAAAGTTTAAAAAAAGCAGATAAATTATTATTTCAGCTTGTAATTATTATTATTTAAATCTGGCTACAGTTTGTTGTTTTTGGTAGGTATATGCAAAGGATTTTAAATGTAAACAGTAAAAACATAAAAATATGACACATACTTTCAAGAGCTCGAGTAAAAAAATATTTGCTCTGTAGATATCTACATTATCTCTGTGTTTATATTCAAATAATGATATTACGTACTATTTACTATGTTAATATTTATTAAGCGACTTTATGAATTACAAAGCAGTATACTACTTTAATAAATATACATGTATATACATACAGGGTGGTGCTTGAGTACATTATGAAAAAGGGAGTGATTCTTCAGTTAATTTAAGAAAAAAAAGTTTATATCCATAGTTTCTAAGTGGCCTCTTCCAATTTGCAGAGAGTTCAATTTTTTATCGAGAAATTTGTTTTTTTGCCTACATTGTAACAGAAAGAAATTTAGTGAAATTTGGTACTAGCTTCTAGAAACTAATATAGTGATCCAAATTCAAGTATCACTTCTAATCTAGAAAATATATTTTTTTATCGACATAAGAGTAAACGGAAAAAACATTGTAATGAAAATTTGAAAATTCACACAATAAATTCATAAATTGTTTGGAAATTCGATGTTTACATTATGATTATTTTTACATTAGTTAAATTATTATAACAAATTGTACATTTCCTCAACATTTTAAACAAGTTTGTATGAAAGTTTCTTGTGCCTGTCAACATTTTAAAAAAGTTGTGTGAAATCACATGATATTATTTTCAATGTGAGAAAAAGAATGGTATGGCACTGATTTCTTAAGGTTTTGAAAGAAAATCATTAAAATGTTATTAAAACTCTGAATTTTTTATTGTTTTAAAATTAGGCTACAATGTAGTCGCACCCTGTATAATTATAGTGTTACATAGTTTTATTTAATAGTACTTCATGCACTTTCTGTTCTTTTGCTCATGTAGCCTTTAATCCATGGTCCTATAGCGTGTTACACTTTCAGTCAATAGGGCATTTAATTTAATGAGAACAAGAAAACAACCAGAATTTCTTAAGGAAGGTTTTTAATAACATGCATAAAATTGAAACAATCAAAACAACTATGACACGATAGATTTCAAATAACCAATATCAATGACTAATTTGTAGTGAGAACGTGATTTCCGAGATTCAGGGAATACACGGCAAAATTAGGAAGCCAAGGGGAACTCTCTTCCTTCGCCGTGACCTCCTATAGCAATACGAGGGTGGGCTAGTCAATTATGTTTTAATCCATTTTTTGTAGCTATGAGAGCCCACCTGACTCTCTAGCTCTCTCTCTATCTCTATCTATTATCGTTATTTCCCTTAAAGCAGTATGAGAAAATATGATGGTGTTTTGGAATTCCTAGGTCCATTCCGTCCTATTTTCGCGGGTAGCTAGGAACATGTGACGAACAAATATCCACTTCTCTCTTCTTCTAATCCCGAAAACAGGAATGTCAGATGGCCAGAAATGTTTGCTGCGAGTATATTTGTTCAAAATGCTTTGTAAATTTATTGCTTTCGGTTACAAGGCTTTAACAATCAGATGAAACCTTTTAATGACTTTTTCTGGCGACTTTACCATCAACAAGATGCTGATGTTTATTATCGTATGAGTAGGTCCAAATATAGGTCCAAACGTTCTGGCTTTTGTTACATTCAAGAAATGGAATAAAAAAATTGGTGGTAAAACAACTCATCAAACAATTTATTGAAATATAAGGCCAATAAATACAGAAAATATCACTTTCGTATTTCATGACATAGAAGATCTTTCATAAAATATCGTTATAGAGATCGACACACACTTAAAAAGAAAATATTCCCGAGAAATGCTAGTTTTGCACGTCATTTCTCATACGATTTATAACTCAATGTTTTAAAGTACATACTTTAATTCTGCTTTTATTGCTGTGTTAAGAAGATAAATAGAGTTAAACTAAAGACAAAGAAAGCTAAAACAATATAGAAAAAATTGTAATAAATAAGAACCTACAATAAATGAAACAAGCACATTATTATCTTTCCAAATGCCATGAGCTTTTAAACTCATCAAATTTATATTGCATCACGCCAAATTTTCCAAAATAAACGTGTTTAAGAAAAATAAACATAGTCAGACTACTTCTAATTAATATTTAACTAAATAAAGCGCAAAACAAATTTAGCAAAGGACCGAATTAAAAAATTAAATAAACTAATCTGCAAAAATTACAAAATTTTAATTTAGGTTAAATTAAGTTTATATTATAAAAAAAGATCATTAATATTCAGTTGATCCTACTGTTGCTCTTAAGCAAGCTTCTATTCTTCGGGGAATACTTTCGATGAGATTGTTTATAAGCTGCTGAGGCATATTTTCTCAAATCACGGTGGCAGCATGTATAAGGTCTGGAAGGGCCGCATAACCCTGATTTTGTTGACGAACTCTTCTTTTCAACATGTCCCATGCATGTTCGATCGGATTCAGATCTGGAGACTTCGGTGGCCACTGTAAACTAACAATATTCTCGGTTTCCTTAAACTCAACCTGTTGCATGTGATAGGAAGCTGAGCTGTCGCCCATGAACAAAAAAATTTCTCCTACAGGGCCCCTCCATAAACGAACAACTGGGTTTAACATGGAATCAATGTATACTTGACCTGATTGTGGGTTGCAATGCGATGACGACTTTTTCTTGGATGATTTTCCAGATTTCCGAGTTCTAAATACCGTTGGTAGGTTCCCGATACATCACTTTGTTTGACTCCAACAATAGCAACCTGCCTTTGCGAATGTCTCATTTCAATAAGTGTCACTATACGACCCCTGTCTACCTTTGAAATTCCTTGGAAAGGCATTTAAAAATAAAAGTACATTTTTTAATAAAGGTAAAAGACATAGGAAAAGCACACTATTGACTAAACAATGTTATCACTTGCCAGAGTTTTTTCTTACTTTTTAACGATAGTTTGGAGAAACATAAAATATATCGTTCTGAATATGGGGTGATGCAGTATAAAAGTTGATATAAACGGAATATTCCGGAACAAGCCGGAATAAAAGAAAGTTTTCCAATAAACCGGAATCAGTGCACATTTTGAGGGCTAGTGGATCACTCCTTGGCTCTATCTCATTCTACAAGGGCAGTTAGGAGATAATTTTCTCAAAAATAGACTTTCAGAGGTGAAGATGTACCCATTTATTGGCCCGCTTGATCGCCAGACTTTAATTCGCTATCTAGAGCTTTTTGAAGTAAAAAGTTTACAGTTGATACTTGGACGAAATTGCGAAAAAGAATCGAGAAAGTGTCCAAGGCTTGTCAGTAATGTTTGTATTTTAAACAGACACATGTCGTCTTTAAGAGGAAGGTTAGAATTGTCAATTGTGTATCAACAAAAACGGAAGTCAATTTCAACACTTATTGTAATATTATATTTTTTTAATTTAATTTAATTTAAATTGGAGGACTGAAAAATGAAATTAATCCCTACTTATTAGCCCCATTTTCTTCATTGTGCGACTAAAGTTTAATGGTGGAGTACCCTTAAAAGGTCTTCAAAACTTTCAAAATTTCAACTGCTGGTTTTTAGGCCACGCATGATATACATAGGATGTGCTAACGGACGAAGAGATAAGAGATAAGAATAAATAATAAATAAAAATGTTTGGTTTTATATTTCAAACGGGACTGTAAAAACAATCTTGCTTCATATGGTTTAGTAAAACCACAGACAATATAGCTTATCGCCAGCTATTTTGTCTGTGGTAAGACGGATCTAGGAAAATATAAATTTATACAACATAATAAAATTAGTGCTTTAAAGAACAACGTTATAAAAATTTAATTTAATTATTATTTTTAAATATCTTGAACGTAAAAAAAATAAATAAAAAGCGATAGTGGTTTTAAGGTTTTCTCGGTCAGTGCTAATATTTAAATTACGATGGTTTTTCGAGTTGTTATGCCGTGACCTTAGCTAGGAATCTCTAACCTGCCTTTGTTGTTCTCAGCTATTAGAACCCCTAGGTTCTCCTTGAAGTTCATTACGGTTCTTATTGAATCTAAGGCCGCTACAGACGTACGTAACTTTTCCTCGAGCAATGGTGATACTTTGAGACGTTCCTTAGTGACCTCTGGAACTGATTGCATCCAATGCTTTCAAACGTTTCGCCGTTAATCAATGTCAACATCTTCAGTGGTGACCCTGCAAATGATTCGCCGCGATTGAATCGTGGGAGTTATCGACACCTTGTATGTTTTACAATTACCGGTTTAATCAAATTCAATTTAAACATCCCACTGAAGGTCGCGACAATCTCGCTTGTAAATTATTACCACATACATTCTTATTGTCAGTAGTGTGCCATAGCGATAACACGTATCTGAATAAATAATGAGTTCACAACTTACAGTAGAACAAAACGATTGCATAAGAAAAATAGCTGAAAATGAGAATATTAGTGATTATTTGTTGGAAGTCAGCTCTGGTTCAGTGAAGGGTGATGGCTACTTGGGGATTATGTCAACCGTAAATATAATTAGTGAACGCAAGAAGCTAAATTTAATAATAAAAACAGCTGAGACCAATGAGGAGTTGCGAAAGAAAATTGTGATCAGAAAGGCATACCTAAGAGAAATGTTTACCTACAACAAAATATTCCTGGAATTTGAAAATTTCCAGAGAAAACGAAACATGCGGAATGGTTTTACTGCATTTGCAAAAATATACGGAAGCTGCGATGAGGACTGTAAAGAATTCTTAATTTTCGAAAATTTGAAGGAAGTTGGTTACAAATTATGGAACCGTAAAGTTCCCATGGATGCGGAACATGTAGCATTAGTATTTTCCGAATATGGAAAATTCCACGCCGTGTCTTTAGCCATAAGAGACCAGGATCCCGAAATGTATAAAGAACTTACTAAAGATCTTATGAGTATATTTGAAGATTCATATTCCAAAGAAGAGTTCGATCACGCAGCGAAAATTAATATAGATAAAGGTTTTAGAGCCGTTAAAGGTGACAATAACGCTACAGAAGCACTACGAAGATTTTCTGATTCCCTTGCAACTTTATTCGAGCATTTTAACATACCAGAAAATGGTATAGTTATTAATCATGGAGACTGTTGGTGTAACAATATGATGTTTAAGTATGGGGTAAGTTTAAATTCATTTCGACTTTCTTCAATTTTACTACTTTAGTCATATTTATAAAATAACGTTGCATCCAATCCATTACGTTATAGCCAATAGAAATATTTTTTATCTTATTAAAAATAATTTCTTAAAATAAAAGATTATTGATAATGAAAAAAAGTAATTTTTTCTCTATTTATTAAGGATATTTTGCCACTTGGAAAAAAATAATGAAATTAAACCCTTGCACCAAAACGATTAGTTAAGGATCAGGTGTAAAAAATAGTCAATTGGGTAGTTATAATCCTAAAAAGTACACATAACCGTATCTCCGATTTCAATAAGTTTTGAAAATCAATCTGTTTTCGATTTTAGAACCGAGAATGATGTTTCATTTTTAATTTTAACAACTTGAATGTATTTGTTTATCTGCTTCCATTACTACCATATAATATTCTATTGTTATTAACTTCTGAATATTGTGTTTAATAAATAATCATGTTATCTTTCAATTTTCTTTTCACGTTATTCTTCTCTAGCATTTTGGTAAAAAAACATGTTCTAATGTTAAATTTAGGATCTTTAGGACATAATACAGAACATGTGAAATTTTTATTGTGTATGTAATTTCCAATAGTTGTCTGACATCATTTGGTTTACTTCAAATATTTTTATAAACTTTTGTAACAAAATTCCCAAGGTATTGAATATTTCAATTAATTATTATTAACAATAATATATTTTGAACAAATTAATTTAACTCTATCACACAAAGATCTAATTACGTCTTTATTTCTTATAAACACATCTTACTTCTAAAGAACTAACACTTTTCATATATGCATGCATTCGTTTCTTTCTATATCTAAGATAAATTTAATTGTTGGTTATTTATTATTAATAATAATATATAGAAAAATATTTAACTTGACAATGATAAAAGGCCATTTCGTCTGTATACCACCAAATGGTAGTGCATTTTCTTTTATTTGAATTTGCTAACATAGTTTTCATAAAAAAAAACATAAAAATATTACTTAAAATTGGTGATAATGATGATCCCATAGCCATTTCGAAATTTTGTTGATGAAATTTTCTTTCATGTATAAATTCTTTCAATAATGTTAAATAAATGTTAGCAAAATAATGTTAGCATTACCTTAACAAGATGGTAAAATTTTAAATTATTATAATTTTTATATCAACATATTTCTTTTTTTTCTAATTATAGGTCTAATCACATTTTTTTCGAGTTCATTTTTTGATGTAATTTTATCTTCGCTAAGTTTAATAGTAATTAATGGTAATGTGGCGTCTAGCACAGTTTCCTAACGATATTTGTAATAGAAAAGTCTTATACGAAAAAAATCTATTTTTGCGTTTTTTTTCCGTAAATTAAAGTTTAATTATGGATCAAAATATTTTCTCTGGCATGGTTCTGTCCGTGTGTTGTATGATGAGTTACGTGCTGTAGACCAGCCGTGTAAACAAATCGTCGTTGAAAGATAGAAAGATACCTCTCAATTTTTGGGTAATTTTTCAATGCAAAAGTTCAAACTAAGAAAAATAGATATTTTAAAAAAACTGATGATATTTTCTTACTATAATAATTAATAGTAATTACTATCTTAAATGCATTGTTGTTACGTCAAGAATTCGCAAACAAAACCACATCCGTAAGCATTTGTAGTTGCCAACTGCGTGCACTAAACAAATTCCATTAAAATATGAAACAAAATGAATTCTAAAGAAAATGTTGAAATTGATCCCCATTAGCGCGGATACAGGCATGGCACTGACGCGAATATATACTTTGGCGAATATTTTCCCAAATTCCAGGTATTCCCCTAATAATTGTCAGTAGCCTCAAGAATACGGTTTCGCAATTCTTCCACCGTAGTGACTCCAAAAAAAGTCCGTTGGAGTTAGATTGGGTGACGGAGGTGGCCACGGCACGACCAAAGATTCCAATCCATCGCTGAGAAAACATTTCATTCAAAAGTTTCTTCTCGAGTACTGTGTGGAGGACCCACAAGTACATCGCGTATTATGCCGGCCCAAACATTTACCGAGAACCGATGTTGAAAATGTGTTTCCCTAATCGCGTGAGGATTTTCATCGGTCCATATGTGCAGATTATGGAAATTCACTTCATCACGGGGAAATGTCTCCTCATCTGTTACACAAACATAAGCAGGAAAGTCTGCTTAATTGGCACATTGCCGTAAAAACAAATTGCAAAAACGTATTCGTTGATCACAATCCGGGGGTAAAATCTGTTGAACTCGTTGCAGATGATAGGGGTGCAACAGCTTGCGCCTTAAGATGCGATGTACGGAACGAGATGAGGTTTCTACTTGCTGTGTGAGTCGTCGATTACTACTTGTAGGGTCTTCGTCAAGATTTTCCAACACTGCATTAAGGTTCACTTGCTGACGACGTCCTTCTCCTCGAGGAATAATACTTCCCGTATCTGAACGCACTGTAGGATTGTATTTGCACATGGGGGGTTGTGACCATCGTTCCCGGTACAACCTAGTCACCGCGAGCGCATTTTCTCCAACTGCATCAAACACTAACACCATATCGACACGTTCGGAAATAGTAAATGCATAATAATGAATTCAATACAAATACATAATCAGTTGACTGCACAAATTTTTTTACAGTGTGGCTTAACCTTCTTTTAGTATTACTAGTATTAGATTATACCGACTTGATTTATAAGGTTGTATCTCGGGTCGCATAAAAACATATCCAAAGTTTTTAATAAATAACACAGAGTCGGCCTTTATTTTTGTTGATTAAATGAACTTTAATTTACAAAAAAAAAAAAACGCGAAAATAGAACTTTTTCGGATAAGACTTTTCTATTAGAAATATCATCAGGAAGCTGTAGTTTAATTTTTATAGATTATACACGCCACACCCTGTAGTTTGTTTGATCAATTGATGATCAAATTTAGGACTATTTTTTTAGCTCAATTTAGGTAATCTTTTTTTCTACTTCTAATTTTTCAGACGTACTAAGTTATCTATTTGACATGCCAATAACGGTTTTATCGATGACAGAAATGTTATTTAATTTCAGCAGTTCTGAGTTTTGTCTTTAGTGAACAGCGTTTTTGACATACTTACACTTTTGCATTCACTGCGCACTGAGAATATTTGCATACTTTACTTTTCAAGTTGGTAGTATATCGAAAACGCTGTATATTTATTTATGTATATATTTTTTCTGTTTGTTAAATGCCATATTACAGGAATATTATCTCACGACTAATTGTATTTTGTATATGTTCTAATTTATTTTTGATATCACTTACCAATTGTATCTTTTTTTGTTGATGGAAGTGAATAAGTAATATCAGACAATAAAAGAATTAGTGCTGTTAAAAGGTTTTGGTAATTTCCCAATAAATCATATCTAGTTTTGCAAGTGTTTGGAAAAGATTGCCATCCCTGTATTAAAAAACATTAAGTTATGCAGGGTGTCCCAGGATATGTGTGCAATCTCTCGGGTTTATACAGAGCAAGTAAAAATAACGGGACAAGTTCCTACAAAAATTTTGCCTGCGGAGATACACGCCCCTAAAGGACACCCCTGAAAATCGTTTTTTAATAATCTTTAAAATACTTTGTATAATTTAATTATTAAAAAAAAACAAATACAAATAAGAGTTGCATTTTTTAGATAGGCACAGGAAGAATGCAAATTTCATCGGTTTATTTCTCCTTTTTTTTAGTGTGTAAGGTATAAAATTATTATTTTTATGCCTTTATCGTAAAGGGCGTAAAAAAGACATTATTGTGCTACAGTTAGTCCATCCCGGGCAAACTAAAGAAGCCAAATTGTTTTCATGGGTCAATTTTTAAGGAGTCTTATCTGTTGTCCATCGTATTAAAAAATAATTACTTAAATTACACAAAGTATTATAAAAGTTATTAAAAAAAATCGATGTATCTCCGTTATTGGGAGTTGTCATATTATTTTAACATCCCCTATATAAATTCGAGAGATTGCCCACATATTCTGGGACATCCTGTGTAATATAATGCCGTTAGAACACAATCTGGTACAATTATGAAACAATTATGGTCATTACATCGACCAGTGCTTCCTTAGTCCCTTCTAAACACCTTTATTAGCATTATTTTGAGGGAATTTGATTTGTATATGTCATGTGTCTGTCTTTGCTCTTATGATATAATTTTATTTCATTTTTATCATTTTACATGGGAAAAAGGTGTAGAGATTTATTAGTCTTGTGTTCTATCAAATGTTAGACAAAGTACTTATCTATTTTGCAGTAAAAGACAAAACTAGTGTATGTGTAACTCTAAAATCGATATAGTAATATACAGTGCAAATCATAACTGGGTGTAAAAAATTTAACCGAAACAAAATAATTGGTCATACAAACCTTTGTTCCAAAATGCCCCTTCACGAATTGTATTTTTAGTCCAATCAATAGAGGTTTTGTTTATGACAAAAATACTAGTAGCAAACTGACTGTGCCATCATATAAAGGATACTCTGTAGATATATGCTTATATGTTTCCTATTCCAACTAACGACGCAATCTGAGTGCTATAAAGAGATAATTTGTAGAGAATAAAACGAGAGTGCGATCGGATAATTAGAAACGAAGAAAATCCGGAAAAATCGGAAAATTTAGCGTCTTTTTAAAAATTCATTACATCGACATTTTTTAAGTTGTAGAGTTGACCCTGTGCGCAAAAGTAGTGAATTATATGTACTTTAAGTGTGCACAAAGCAAGCGCTGTCGGACCATTAGTTTTGGCACAATTGCAATTTGAATTTTTTTTTGGTGCACTATTTTGCAAAATTTCTGGATACGTTGGAGCATTTTAATTTTTCAGCCGGATTTTAAAAGTAGAAGTATAATACTACAAAGTGTACATTCTAAATTTCCGATGAAATGATGCGAAATTGGTGAAAAATTTCTCCAAAAATGCTCAAAAACGGCCGAGCGCACGTATGCGGTTGAGTAATGGGGAACGATAGGGAGATGAGGGCCTCTATCGAATGGCATAATCAATTTTTATATATAACGTTTTGTCTCTCCAGGACCATCATCAACTTCATTTTTTTAAATACGACCCTAGGAATGTTATTACATTTTTTGCAAGCCTTCATGATCCCCAATACTGTACTGCACTGCCTCAACCCGAACCAGATTCAGACGTTTTGTCTCGAAAAATGCATCTTCAGTGTATTCGTTCCAAATTTATCTAAATTTTTTATTTAGATTTCTTTGTTTATTGAATTATCGTACACTGTAAGTGTCGTTAGACCCTGTGAAATCCATATAGTTATTTAAACTATTACCAGCACTGATTAAAATAAAAAATTATTAGTTTTATTCCCGTTTTCATAGTTATTTCTAGGCTTTTCGAGTGCTCAAAATTCAAACAAATTCCGATCTATTTTTTTTCAGCATATTCATACAAATACATCTGACATGCTCTTTCAAAGTTGCGGTTACAGAAAATAAATTCAGATAATATTACGCTGATCTTCATTTTCAACCTTTGCCAAAACGAAAATGTTTTTAAAATTTACTGAAATTTTTTAAATAATAATATTCAGTTGGCGTTTTGGTTGTGCATATGCATTTTTAAGAATTAATTTGTCACAATAAAATTAAAATTGTAATAATATTTTAATTTTGACGCAACAACTTGAGTTATGTATGACCAAGTGATGGTAATAGTTAATAATAATAATAAATGTTTTATTAACGTGTGGTGGTATTAACACCAGTTTAAATAACTAGATGAATTTCACAGGGTCTAAAGACACTTACAGTGTACGATAATTCAATAACCAAAGAAATCTAAATAAAAAATTTAGATTTTGGAACGAATACACTGGAGATGAATTTCTCGAGACAAAACGTCTGAATATGGTTCGGGCTGAGACAGTACAGTATTGGGGGTTATGAAGGCTTGCAAAAAATGTAATAAAATTTCTAGGATCGTATTTAAAAAAATGAAGTTGATGATAGTCCTGGAGAGACGAAACGTTATATATAAAAATTGATTATGCCATTCGATAGAGGGCAAAAAGTGGCCATGAGAAAGTGTTCTTCTTTTTTCAATATCACCCCAAACAAGGCTGAAATGAAACAAAACGGATTTCCAAAATTTCGTTTTTTTTTTCAAATATTTCGAAAACTAATCATGTTAGCCTTGATTTTTTAGAGGCATAATGTTGGTCTCCTGATTACGCAACTTTACCCCCATTTAAGCTACTTCGTACCTCTTACCGTTTCCGAGATCTCTGTAGTGAAAAGCGAATTTGTAACAGTCTGTACAGGTATACAATTTTGAATATTGTTAGTTATAGTATAGTTTAATATTTTATATTAGTAAGATATTCGATTAATTGTTTTTGTAAATCCATATTATTGTTTACTGATGTATTTTACTGAAAATATGCACGGATGCTTTTTATAGTCCAATATTAGTTGCAACCTTTTTTTTTTTAATTCACCATAGTAGTGAATGGCGATTACACGTCACTGACGTTGAATATTCTGCTGGTCCCTCACAGGAGAGTAGCAACCATAGACCTAGTAGTTTATAAGGTCTATGGTAGCAACTGACAGTGACATTTACTACACCAAATTTCAAAATAATTTGTTAAGCCGTTCGGTTCTGGAAATATTAAGAAAATACTATTTTTTTTTCAACTTCAAATACCCTGTATCTTTATAGGGAGGCACTTTGGAACAAAGGTTTATTTAATTAATTATTTTTCACTCTCTCATGCTCATGCAAAATTAAAATTTACATTTTCCTAGAATTAAAAATGGTCTCTTTTACGTCTATAAGTATCTGGGTAAGCCATAAAAACAAATGAATATTCGCGTACGTTGGTCCTTTGTGATTATACCAAAATTTTAAACTGCAAAAACATTTTTGTCTTATATTGGATCAAAGAGAAAGAAAGAAGATATAAGTCTTTTATTATGCTACAGGTTGTGTGTGAAAGATGGACATGATACATTGTAACTATTCCTTAATTCGTTTAGAAAACATCACTACACCATTTTCCACAGATTATCTTCAATGTATCAGATTTCTCTAGTGTTGACCTCTAGTTAATCTGAACTCTGTGTTAATTTTGACTAAGAAATAGCGAGTAGCAGTTTTACAATCAAATGATCTTGTTCTAGTGTGACATACTAACGAAATGTATTGATATACCTATATAGTTAATTTACAAGCTTTTGTAAAAATTAAATAAAAAAAGAGAGAAAAAATTTTGATTTTCCTTTCGTAATAATTTAATTACATTTGTAAAAATCCTTAATGAACAATGAAAACTATAATAATTCCTTTAATATGGCAATTTTAATTATTATTTATTATACGATATCACTCACATATGGCTGCAAACTAATCATACTTTTTCTAAATGTCGTCCTAGACAGTACGTTGTATGCAATAACCAATAATCGAATTAAATGACCCAGAAAAAAGAATAATAAAATGTATAATATTCACCTTGACCACTTCCAAAATTAATATTCTGTTTTGAATGGATAAGAATTTGTTAGGGTGAATTTAATAAATAATATCGTTTTGCGTTGTAGTATTGTGTTCTCTTTTTGCAGTGTAATACTTTTCTTCATTTTGTGAATAATTTTAACTGAATCCTTCCTCCTATCTATTAATTCATTACTGAGAAATATATTATCCATTTGAGGATTTTGAGAAAATTATATCTTCTCCCAAAGTTTTTCTGACTTTTTATGTTTCTTCAATTTTTAGGACAGTCGAAATACCCACAAACCGACAAAAGTTTGTTTACTGGATTGGCAGTTAACAAAAACAGGCTCTCCGGTTTACGATTTGGCATATTTCTTTTTTGCCTGCGGTTCAAAAGATATTTTTTATGACTATAAGAAATATCTTAAAATATACCATGAAACTGTTTCGAAAAATTTAATTGAACTCTCCTGTGACCCTGAGAAAATATTTCCTTACACGTTATTGGAGCACCACTGGAAAATGCATGCAAAGTTTGGTCTCTTCATGGCTCTTATGGTATTAACCGTGATGTTAAGCGAAGTAGAGGAAGTTAAAGAACTTACAGACGCAGTCGAAAATAACGAATCTATTTTCGAAACCTTCAATTATGACGGTATTAACATAAACGAGTATAATAAAAGAATTTTAGATATTGTAACTTTTATGGCAGAACATGAATTGATTTAGGAGTACAATTTAATTAATTAATAATTAATAGTTTGAAATTATTAAATCATGTAGTTATTGAATCTAGCTATAATGTGATATACCTAAACCTAAAAAAAATTAAAATGTTTTTATTACGCAATTTTTTTCAAATGGCCATAGATTCACTTAAGGAAAATAATTACTCAGTTTTACGTAGTTCATAGATTGTTGAAAGTTTATAGTCAAACGAAGAAGTGTAAATAGTAAGTAAGAAAGCATGGCATTCTTGTACAGTATTGGTCATAGTAGGTAAAAGTTTTGATGAAATAAAGAAATTATTTTTGTTTCATTTATTATTCGCATTCGAACGTCTTAAAATTAACCCATTGTTTTAGGAATAGTTACGTTCTACAGCTAGACAGTAACATTTTAAATCATAAGTACTTTTTACCATTTATTCGACAAGACAAATACAACAAACTAACTTACAAGTAACTAACACTAACAGGTATGTATTCGAATATTTTTATTTGACTATTTAGAAAAACAATTTAATAAAAATATAGGGACTTATATTGTTATTGAAAACGAAACAAAATATAACTTAAGTGAAATAACTTAAAATATTATAACACAGATAAAATCTAATAATACATCCATTTAATATTAAAATTAACCTTAAGCGTTCATGGAATTATTCGTTATCGTTGTTGTTTGTTCCTGTATTAATTAGGAAGAAGTCAATAATATTTAACATAAGTTTGTAACGGACCTAGTAAGCATCAATTGAATTGAATTATAGTTATTACGCAAAAAGAAAGTGTTCTCTCTTCAGATTAGAGATAAAAAAGAAATGGGTAATCGGGATCCTTAATTTTACTAAAAATTACCTATGTGGTAATTGATTTTCAATACCCTGTTATTTTGGCATGTTTCGACCGGTAGACACGTCAATGTCGGAAGAATTTCTGTCGGATAAATTTAAATCGGCATTTGCAACAAAATTCCCAGTAACTGAAGCTAAAAATAAAAGATGTGGTCATGACTTTTCAAGACCCCGGGAAATTGCCATGTTTTTGGACTTTTTCGAGTGGAAAAGCGGAGGAATCGAGAAAAGTCGCAGAGGAAAAATGTGGTAGACTCGTCAAAAGGATGCTCCTCAGCTCAGGAGTATGTGGTAATCAACTTTCCAGAGGGGCCTGTACTGTGGACTATTAGACTTAAATCGGACAAAGTGGTAGTACCTATATAATATTGTGACGGGTCATACTATCTATTCTCCCTGTATTCTCTTCAATAAGCCTATCAGGAGCATTATTAACAAAATCAATTGCTGCTTTACAGTGTTCGTATTGCTGTAGCAACAACAATAGCTCGTACAATATCCAAATGTAATCTTCACCTTGTAGCTACAATCCCTTTATGGGGGTTGAAGTGTCAATTTTCATACAAAGACGAGTGGGTTGTGTATGCCTACGTTTTCTAGGCTGCTGAAAACAAAGAAGACTACCGAAAATGAATCCAACCTCCTCGTCAACCCTCAGCACCCTTTGCCACCCACATACACGCCCTTATGAGGGTTGGAATGGCAAATTTCATACAAAGGCAATTTAGTCCAGGCGGTATCTGTCTTACAAAGGGTGTACTCGGGTAAAACGCATATGATCGGAGATTTGCTTTATTATTATTTGCTTTAACGGCTTCTAAATAACTTCAGAAATGATAATTTTTCTATGCAAATAAAAAAAACGTGGGCTTAATTGTTATTACAAAAAAGTATAAAAAAAATAACAAAAAAAATCATTTTTTTCTTGTTATTCATTTTAGACAAAAATGGAAGAGGAAAAAAAGTTTTGTAATTAAATTTTGAACAAGATAGAGTTAGTTGTAATTCGAAAAAATAATTGTTGTTGTTGCAAAAATCGGAAAAATCATTTAAAAAATTGCAAAAAATGCTAGTTTATTTGTCAATTTTTTTCAGACACTTGAATAATACCTAGGATCTTCATACTCTTCCAAATTAAACTTCTTAGTGCATAGAATCATCACACCAAATTTCATCCAATTCGGTTCGATAGTTTTTACATAATAATTGTTTAATTTTTTTTATTTTTTTTAAATTAAAAAATTTTCAAAATCAAATTTCTAAAAATCTAAAGCCTTTGAATACTTGAAAATTTCACCACAAAAAGAAGAGCTCTCAAGCTTTAAAATGCTTTTTGAAAAATTCAAATCGGACGATTAGGTGAGCCGTGGTGATTGTTTAAACATTTTCGCAATTTTCACGCTTATAAACAATTGCAATAATTTAATGTTTTTTCAAATTTTTGGTAATACTAGTAAGTTTGTTTAAATATTATAAAATTGTTTAAACAATAATTATTTAAATAAACAACTGAAAATTGGTATCAATTTTTAGTTGTACGATAAATTTCTAAAAGTCTTTCAAAAATTATTACTCACATAAATTGTGAATAATTATAATTTTAATTTTTTCGTTTACTTTTAAAATATTTATCTAAAATTTACTTTTTATTTATTAAAAAAAGTATAAGAATCTTTCTTTCTAAGAATAAGAAAAAATAAAAAAAAATTAAACAATTATTATGTAAAAACTATCGAACCGAATTGGATGAAATTTGGTGTGATGATTCTATGCACTTAGAAGTTTAATATGAAGATCCTAGGTATTGTTCAAGTGCCTGAAAAAAATTTACAAATAAACTAGCATATTTTGCAATTTTTTAAATGATTTTTTCGATTTTTGCAACAATAATTATTTTTTCGAATTGCAACTAACTCTATCTTGATCAAAATTTAATTACAAAACTTTTTTCCTTTTCCATTTTTGTCTAAAACGAATGGTTGCTAAGTTGTCGACGAGAAATCCAAGAAAAAAATGAATTTTTTTGCTATTTTTTTATACTTTTTTGCAATAACAATTAAGCCCATGTTTTTTTTATTTGCATAAAAATATTATCATTTCTGATGTTATTTAGAAGCCGTTAAAGCAAAAATCTCCGATCATATGCGTTTTCCCAACCCGAAATAAGTACCGCCTGGACTAAGTGGGGTATGATTCGGGGTAACTTTTAAGACGAGTCCTCTCGTCTTTCATAATTCAGGGTACTTTTTCAACCGTAAGTCTCCTCGCCTTTCCGAAATCTTAGTATGGGGGTGGTAAAGTGACGCTAAGGGGTAACAAGGGGGTCTTATTCATTTTTGGTAGTCTCCTTCGTTCTTAGTGGCCCAGAAAACATAGGAATACACACCCTTTTCGACATTGTATGAGAATTGACATTTCAACTCCCAGAAGGAGGTGTATGGGGGTGGTAACGGGAAAATAGCTAGCTAAATTTTTTTTATGGTCATATTCGGTTTCAGCGACCCCAAAAACGGAGGGATAGGGAGGGTCTACCTTCTGGGTCTTGACTATGTCAATATTTATTAAATGATGTTATCACATTGATGCTTGATTTGCTATATTCCGATAATAAAGTTAATCAGTTAATTTAAGAATAAAATTTATTAAATAAACGTGTTAATATTTGAAAAGGAAAATTGGTTTTTGCCTATATAGCAGAGAGTGAATGAATAATTTAAAGAAATTTAGCACACTGTATTAGTTTCCGCAAAGTGTCACTTCTGAAAATTAACGGAAAAACATTGCCATGATAATCCACACAATTATTACTAAAATGGGATCGGCACAAATTGTTTGAAAATTCGACGTTTACGTTTTGATTATTTCTACAATTATTACAGAAAACATTAAAATTTGTTTGCAAACTATTCGTAGCTTGTATAAATAAGGTAAGACATAATTTTATTTAATGGTATTTTCAATAGATCAATCCACGTAAATAAACCATATCTTCAAACTAAATAAATATTTTTTTACATGGAACTACATAGTGCATTCAAATTGCAACATTTAAAAAGGACCATTGGGTACAAGAATATAAAGGGCGTCCCAAAAGAAACGCAGGACTTCATATGACGAAAAAAGAAATTCTTAATTAAAAACTTGGCAAAGATTGTCATTAAATATGAAAGAGGATATCAGAAAGATGTCCTCCGCGACTTAGCATACTCGCCTTCGGCTGAATTTCGTTGATAACTCTCCAAATTTCTGCCTTTAACTCAGGAATGGTATTTATTTGAGCAAAATAAACTTTGGACATTACGAATCTCCACAGGAAAAAGTCGCATGGCATGGCCTTGGTGATCAAGTCACTTCACTGTTACGTTAAATGAGTAGTGCATTAAATTTCTGACGTAACAAGTAGACAGTTTCACATGCCGTAAGGCAGGTGGAACCATCCAGCAGCAACCACATGCCATCAAAATCCATGCTATTCAAATGAGGCCACAAAAAGGTTCAAAGCATCTCTCGATATCATTCTCCATTAACAGTCACTGCATTTCTAGTCTCATTTTCAAAAAAGAACGGACCTATCACACCACAAGCGTAAAATCCACACCACACTGTCACTCTTTGGGTATATAGCGATCGTTCTTGCATGATCCGAGGATTGTGTTTATCTCAAATTCGACAGTTTTGCTTGTTCACATAGTGCGTATGGGAACATGCATGAAAATATTGATATTCATAGCAAAATCACTTATTGATTCTCCATCATCCAATCAACGAATGTCCGGCGCATTAAATGGTCGTCCGGTTTCAATTCCTGGTTTAGCTGAACCTTGAATGGATGCAGATGCAGATCTTTTGTTAAAATTCGTTGCATTGTGCTTTTTGAGATGTTTCATTGCAGTGACAAACGGCGCACCAAGGTTACGGTAACTTCCGCCACACCGTAGTAATATTTTCGACTGAACGGCCAGTACTAAGTTGGCCTGTCTTTTTATTGTCTACCAAAAATTTCTAATTTGTTCACAGTCTCAGCTACACACTCCCTATTTGTAATGAATTTTTACAATCTTCACTTGTTTTATTTTGTTGGTCGGACTGTACCACGTGATTAATTCCTTGTTTAGTTGAAATGGCCGGGTTTTAAAACGATAGCATTCTGAGACTTTGGTGGTCAAAACCATTAAGTGGCAAGTCAGATATAATAAAATTAATTTATATGAGTTCACTGGTTTTCTTCCTTTATAAAATTGCAAGTAACAAAGCTATCATGTATAATAACATAAGAAGCTACTAACAATTGGAACAAAAATTGATATAAATTAGCACTAATTGTTCAAGATTATGTTGAGGTGATTTCTATATTTTATCCCAACTAGATTTTGCTACCTTGAAATCAAATGTTTATATACAGGGTGATTCAGAACTTATCCAAAAAAAATTCTGGATGTACAGGGGATCCTTACAAATACAATTTTGTAAAGAAAAATTCAAAAAGGGCAGTTCGAAAATGATTTAAAAATACACTTCTGCACGGCACTGGAAACTGGTCCACTGTAAAACCTGACCTCGCACAATGCAACCAGCATAGCGGTGTGATAAAAACCGACAAAAACTTTCGCAAGTAAAGAAATAAATAATAATTTTATAGCACCTATTTTATATCAGCAAATTCAACTGCTTTTGCCTTTATTAATTAATAAAATTAATTTGTGTTTTTAAATAATAAAATCATTTACCATACCCGATGTTACAATAACAATTGTTCAAAATTTTATCCACCAACGTGTAAACACATTTGGGTCCGTCTTACTCACTTTCTACGAACTAACACAAATGTTGTCTTGCTTCACCATAAATTATTAAAACGATATCCATCAACTACGAGTTGCTATACACGCAAACCATTTTTGACACTAACTACTAAAAAACTATGTAAACACCACAGATAACAAGTAAACACTATCGCAACGACGATTGCAAAATCAGATTTCAGTATTCGGAGTCGCTGAGTCCACGTAGCTCTCCACGGGTATTGCGAATGATACTAGAAACTACAGTTGCCCAGCTATGTAGTGGTTAAATGTACTATAACTTCAATATTTTTTTTTCTCAAAGAATATAAAGATTTTACAAAAATTTTTTTTAACTTCTTGACTTCATTTCTTAATCCGCATCTATTCCCAAATTTTTTTGGATAAGTTGTGAATCACCCTGTATAGTATTTTTTTTATCAAATGTTTCCGGACATTTTTTTATATAAAACTTTTTGCTTAAAATTAATTTTTCTATTACTTATTTCATTTAAGGCACTTAAAACGGTGACACCCTGTATAATAAATAAAAATTGTCATCCTGTACGTTTAAATGTATATTTTACAATGTTTGGTTTAAATCAATTTAATTATCTCACTGAAGGTCTCTACAATCTTACTTCTAAATTATTACTATTATTACATCATACATTCTCATTGTCAGTAGTGAGCGATTGCATCTGAGACGTATATTTAACGTTACAGTGAATGTTCGTATATCTGAATAAATAATGAGTCCACAACTAACAGCAGAACAAAATGATTGCATAAGAAAAATAGCTAAAAATGAAAATATCAGTGACTATGTGTTGGAAGTTGAATCTGGTTCAGTGAAAGGTGATGGTTACCTGGGGATTATATCAACCGTAAATATAATTAGTGAACCCAAGAAGCTAAATTTAGTAATGAAAACAGCTGAGACCAATGAGGAACTTCGAAAGAAAATTGTGATCAGAAAGGCGTATCTAAGGGAAATTTTTATCTACAATAAAATATTCCGGGAATTTGAAAATTTCCAGAGAAAACGAAATATGCAGAATGGTTTTAGTGCGTTTCCAAAAATATATGGTAGCTGCGAGGAGGACTGTAAAGAATTCTTAATTTTAGAAAATTTGAAGGAAGTTGGCTATAAGTTGTGGAACCGTAAAGTTCCAATGGACGCGGAACATGTAGCATTAGTATTTTCCGAATATGGAAAATTCCATGCTATGTCATTAGCTATAAGAGACCAGGATCCTGAAATGTATGAAGAACTTACTAAAGATCTTAGCAATATATTTGAAGATTCACATTCCAAAGAAGAGTTCGAGCACTCAATGAAAATTAATACAAGTAAAGGTTTTAGAGCAGTTAAAGGTGATAATTACGCTACAGAAGCCTTACGAAGATTTTCTGATTCTCTTGGAACTTTATTCGAACAATATAGCAGACCAGAAAATAAAATAGTTATTAATCATGGAGACTGCTGGTGTAACAATATGATGTTTAAGTATGAGGTAAGTTTAAATTAATATATAATAGAAGAATATAATATGCATTTATTTTACAATAACAATTCAGATAAAGCGTGCTGAAAGTAATGTGTTTAAAGCGATATTTTTCTAAAAGTGTTTTGTTTCAGGGTGCTCATTTGCTATCTTCCCTACTGTCCTCATCCATAAATTTTTGATAAACGATAAACTTCATTAGCTTGGTCATATTTACAAAATCATAAAAAATGTGTTGTATCTGATCTGTTATTTTATAGCTACCTTGGCTAAAAAAATATATATTTTTTTATTTTAATTGAAATGATCTCGTAAAATAAAAAGGTAACAATGAGAACAAGTTATTTTTTACTCTGTTTATTTGGATATTTTGCCAGTAATGAAGCTTTAAAAAATTGTTAAAATAGGATAAATAGGGTAATTAAATATTTCACTATAAAAATAAAGAGTATACCTAATCGTAACACGTATTTCAATAAGTTTTCAAAATCAATTTGGTTTCGTTTTCAGAACTATAAATCATTTCTCACACAAATGAGACTAATTTTGAACGAAGCAAGAGCTCTCACATATCGTTTGACATAATTTTTCATTTGTCAATTTTCATAGGACATAGCCTGCCTCGTTATGGAAACAATAATCTTTATAAATACTCAGATATTTGGAAGTAAAAAATTTGGAAGTTAAACAAATTTCAAAATAAAACAAGTACTTTTTGAGGACAAGCTTGGTATAGTTTTACAATTTAATTTTGGCTTGGACTATGCTAATATTATTTAGAGAACTAAATAAAGGATGATGTTCTAGCACAACTTCATTATTTTACCAATAACTTGAAAAGGAACAAAGATATCGACCTCCGGTTTGTGTATTTGTTTCTCTTAATAGATGGTATATCAAGTCATGGAAAAAAGTTTATCGTTGCATTTAATTTTTTTTGTAAACGGGGACAATGACAAAACTTTTCTAATTAGCGTCGTCTACTGTTGCGCAGGAAAATAATATTTTTATTCCCATATCATGAATATAAATTTTATTAATAGTTTTTTAAAATGAGTACTTTTTTATTGAAATCGAACAAGGCATTTAGAAGTTATGACAATTTAAAATTTTCAATATGGCGTCCTTCATATTGGTGTTGCTATGGTAATAACAACAAAAAAGTTCAAACAAAACTTATGAAGGGTTTAATGGTGTATCTAAAACGTGTCTAACTTACGTTAGACAGGGTGAGTCAGAAAGAATGGGTCAACACTAAGCTGGAGATACTAGACACCAAAATATTATGTTTTTGCTCATCATGCCTTATACGAATGTCGTTGGTTTAAGAAATACAGAGTGTTCAAGGTTTAAATTCTATTCTGCAATTTCTTAATAATTGAGAAAGTTTTGATAGCATGACTGGAAATTGGTAGTGTTGAGTTTTTTGGTGATATAATTACGAATTTGAAGCTTATTTCGACGGTGCTCCTAAAGGGCGCTAGTTTCACCGTATTATTTAGGTAAATCAAAACATATTTTTTTTATCTGTTGAGCTATGCTTAAATAAAATTAAAAATCTAAAAGAACATTCAATTCTACATAAAAAATGTACTCTTGTTTAGGACGCCTAACTTTATCGGTTTCTGAATTAGATTTTAGATTAAATCTTGTTTTTTATGAAAGCTATTTTTAAATTTCTCATGAATCATCAATATCATTTTTAGCAGTTTTATATTGTTGATTTAATAATATTGTAATTGATACGACACAGTTCTAAAAGAGAATGTTCAACATCTATTAATTAAGACAATATAAATCCCATTGTATTATGTTCTTTTTCCAACATAATCTCATAAAATTTAGGCCAATATAAACCCTATTATAATATCATTATCTTTTTTTTCAATGTTGAATTATTATTAGTTTGTGTAAATTGGTTATTATTTTAACAAAGAATTTGTTTCAATAAATTAGTACGATAATTAATTTTAATGCGGTAAGTTTGCAACAGGTTTAATGTTTTTTTATGAAACATGGGATCCAATCTAGGTGCTCTTATTTTTTAATTCATAATAATATTGATTTTCTGAGAGAGTATTGAGACTGGCAATTTAAAAGCCTTTCTGAAAAATACTGATGATATCAATCATTAATTAAAATGTTTACAGTAGCTATTAATATACAGATTACGACACAATATTTCATTATTTTGTTCTTTTCCAATTATTTTAATAAATAATTTAATAATTTAAACAATTTATTTAGTTGCTTATATTTTTATTCTACATTTTAGAGGTGGTCATTTTTATATGTTTAATTATTTTGTTTTTTATTGTATTTTTAAATGTCGTCCTGATAAGGTAATAAAACCTAATTCAGATCAAAAAAGAGGAAAAAGGAACAACAAATGACCTATCGCGTAACTAGATCTAGAACTTTTGAGATATGTCACACAAAGAGAATGAAAGAAGTCATCAAATAATCTTTTATTCGCAACCTGTTACTAAGGTGATGAACTGTGTTTTGGGTAACAAATAATAATCAGTAGTAGTTTTTAAGCTCAATGATCTTGTTATATGTCAACAAGTTGTACTTATATATTTTACAAATAAATTAAACAAACAAAGGAATTACGTGTTATTTAAGGTTTGTTCTCATAATTTCAGTCAATGAATAATATTTCTTTTAATACCTATGTAAATTTTAATTATTTTTTATTATACGATGTCATCATATGCAGTTTCAATAAATTACACTTTTTCCAAATCTTCCTAGACATTGCAGTGTTTGTGATAGGTAACAGTATTAAATGAACCAGAAACAAAAATTAATATTTTTTAGTCATTAATTTTCTGTTTCATCATTCTGTGAATAATATAAATAAAATCTGATATAATTGCATACGTATTTTTATGTAACCATTAGTGTATCTATTTGAGGATTTTATAAATATTATACCCCCTTCCGAAATTTTTCGTTCATTTTATACTTCTTTCATTTTTAGGACAATGGAAATCCCCACAAGCCGACAAAAATTTGTTTACTCGACTGGCAGTTATCAAAAACAGGGTCTCCAGTTTTGGATTTGGCTTATTTCTTTTTTGCCTGCGGTTCAAAAGATATTTTTTATGATTATAAGAAATACCTTAAAATATATCATGAAACTGTTTCGGAAAATTTAAAACAGTTGTCCTGTGATCCTGAAAAAATATTTCCTTACACGTTATTGGAGCACCATTGGAAAATGTATGCAAAGTTTGGACTCTACATAGCTCTTATAGTAATAACGGTGATGTTAAGTGAAGAAAATGAAGTTAAAACACTTAAAGACGCAGCCAAAAATAACGAATCTATTTTCGAAACCTTCAATTATGACGGTATTAACGTAAACGACTATAACAAAAGAATTTTAGATATTGTAACTTTTATGGCAGAACATGAATTGATTTAGGAGTACAATTTCATTAATTATTATTAATTCATAGTTGAAAGTTATTAAATTATGTTGTTAATGAATGTAATTATAATAAAGTGATGTAAACGTACAAAAAAGGTTGTTCTTGTTGTAAACGAAGATGTGTAGGTAGTAAGTAAGCAAGCATATTATTCCGGTACAGTAGGTATTGTTCGTTGTATGTAAAAGTTTTGATGAAATAAAGAACTTACTTTAGTTTTATTTACTGTTCGCTTACGTCTGAACTATAGATAGGTATACACCGTGTCCACCTAGTGCGCGTAAGTCCAATATCTAGGTTAATAAAAGATATAACTTAATTTTATTTTCTACAGAGTTGCCTACTTTCCCGAGCTGCACAAAATGAAAATATATTTGCATATACAGGATGTTCAGTTTTTCCTGGGCAGGTACCAACTTAATTTTTTTAAATGGAAACCTATATTTTTTACGGCATTATCGAATTCTACGTGAAAAATTAACGGGACGTTGTGTTATGATCCCTATTAAAATATTGATAGTTTTCGACATAATCGACTTTCCATTTTTTTTTCTTATGTTTTTCTTTTTAATTATAATTGTATGACAGCTAGAAATTAAGTCTTTTCAGGAATTGTAGAGTGAAAATGGCTCTTTCAAAAAACATATCAAAAGTTGACCTGCGATATACAGGGGGCAAAATCGTGCCAAACCTGATAATTTAAAATTTGAAAAACCTCGACTTTTTCAAATAGAACACCCTGTGTTTTATGATTTCATTAGATGCCTTTCTGTAGACCCTACAATTTTTTAATAGCTTTCCCTATACCTAAGTTGCGTAGTTTTTGCAAAAGACCCATTTTTATGTAAAATACCAGATTTGCGCCCGTTCTTTTGTCGGGAAAAATATTGTAATGATATTAGACTTACGTGCACTAGGTGGACACGGTGTATATACATAGTGTGTCCTCAGGTGGGGTACTGCACTCTTGTAAACTTTTTTATTGTTAATTTTTTGAGAAAAAATTATTCGTGTTAAAAAGTTTTTCCTAAGCAAAGTGCCTTTAATTTTTGTTTTCGTTAAAAACTGTATTTAACAAAGTTGTTTGCAAACTCAAGAAATGCTTAAATACGGGGTTTAGTTAGAAAAAAACAGTAATCCGAATAAAAAAACGCCACAATTTTTAACTATCTTACATACCAAATAATTACCACGGATATTTTCTTTATTAATAAGATAACATATTTATTTTTATTAACTGACCACCGAATAATTTTATTTTTATTACTCATACGGGATCCTATCTTTTTGCTTGTTTTTTAAGTCGGTACAAATACACATTTTTAATTCAAAGTATGTAAATGTAATTCGACTGGTGATGTAACGAATATTAAATAGAAAAAATGAATACAATGATAACGATGATGCTACTGTTGTTGTTATGGACTCTGTACAAGACAATCCAAAGATGTCACTCGAGAAGAGATAAAAAACATAGATATTAGCAGATCTCATAGTCAAAGAATTTTAATATACAACAAAATCTATCCATTCAAATCAGTGTTTAATCGTAAATTGCTTGATGGAGATGATGTTTGTCGTTTGGGCTTTTGTTTAATAATGGACGAGAAAACAGATTCTTTCACCACAATATTTTATTTACTAATTCACAACTAATAGCGTGGTTTCCTCTCAAAATTGTAGATACTGAGCTGAAGATAATCCAAATTTTGGATTCATAACTAATAGTCAAACATTTAAAAAAGTTAATGTCTGATGTGGCATAATATATCATAAAATAATTGGTTTTTACTTTTTGGAAGAAAATCTTAATCAAAATTCGTATTTGGAAATACTTAATAATTTTGTTTTGTCAGAACTAGATAGCGAAACTTCAGAGTTCAGAAGGAAGCTAATATTTCAACAAGACGGATTCCATTCCACACTTTTAGTGAGAAACTAGCTTGATATTCACTTCCCGAACAAGTGGATCGGACGTTATGGACCAATACCTTGGCCTGTACAGGCACCCGATTTGTCCTCATTAGATTATTTCTTATGGGGATATCTAAAGCAAAAGTGTATTCAAACAATAAAATTGATTCACTTAAGCAAAAAATTCAGGAACCTGTTACCACCATAAACGAAGAAATAATCTGCGTAAAAGGAATTTAGAAAAAGATTAGAAAAATGTGTACTACTTGGATGTTGATAAGTTGAATACACAGTTGTTAATGGTAGAACAATTTCCCGGGCGGTTGCCACTTCGTCGGTATAGGTTTATTGATAGTCCAGTTGGTAGAGGTTCGGCCTGTGTCAAACCTTGATAACGCTGAAATAACTACACAGGCCTACTTTAAATGATGAGTACAATAACAGGCTAATTTGCTGATAAAGTACTTTATCAGGAAAAAAAGTTATTAACAATTTAATCGTGAAAAAAATTTTTTTTAGTAGTTTTCTATAAATAACTTACCAAATCTGCAAAAATGAAGATAATTGGATTTTGCAAATTGCTTTTGATTTCTGCATATTTACACTATGTGTATACCAAATTTCAAGTGTCAGCAAAACTTCAAACAAATTTGGTAAAGTTTTGAGTTTCAGTTGCCGATGGATGTATAAAACCTCATAGAACAAAAAGTTTTGTTCTCCTGATTTCGGTCATTATTGTATATATATTGAACTATAATTTTCGAAAGTTTTATCACTTTTTGTTTATAATTGACATTTTTACAGCAACTTTAAAAAATTGACGTTTTATACCGTTTTTTCAATCTCACGGCTTTGTTATTGCAAATTTCGTAATCGGACCACCGCCATTTTGTAGCTATTTTTATTACGAACAAAATCATGTCCTAAGCATTTTTTCGTACAAAGTCATCCCGAGTTATTTAAAGAAAACTACTTAAAAAAAAATATTCACGATTAAATTGTTAATAACTTTTTTCCTGATAAAATACATTGTTAGCATATTAGCCTATTATTGTACTCGTCATTTAAAGTATTCCTGTGTAATTATTTCCGAGTTATCAAGAAAATGTCACCAACAGTAACTTTTCGGCCTCTGCCGACTGGACTATGACGTTTTGAGAGACATATCGCTCTTCAAAAATTCAAAAACATTCTTCTGAGGAAGAGAGCGATATGTATCCCGAAATGTCAAGAAACCTAAACCGACTACGTTGCAACCATCCCGGAAATTGTTCTAACAAGCTATTTTTATATTATATTCAATTTAAAATAAAAGTTTACCTACTTATTTTTTACAATTTCTGTCTGCTTTACGTAAGATAGTTAAAAATACCGTCTTCTTATTTGCAAAATGTGATTATTCTGCTTTTTTGACTAAACTCCGTATTTAAGGATTTCTTTGGTTACTGCCCATGGCTTCCCAATATAAGAAAACTTTTTATCAAGAATACCTTTTTCTCGAAAAATTGATAATAAAAAAGTTTACGGTACACACTGTATATACGAGTATTAAGTGACGTTGTTTGTGTAAAAGGGAAATGTAATAAAAATGTATGTCAGTATATCTTAAATTGGACTATTTGCAAATGAAAGTTCTGCTTTGAATATCTCAATTACTTCATCGTAAGGTTTATATTAGAAGTATTTTTGAATATTTAGACAATTTAATAAAAACATACTCATTTTTGTGGTGTGTTTTATGTTTTTTATTGAATCCAAAAACAAATCAGTAGTAGTAGGTATTGGTACATATTGTGAAATAACTTGCAATATTAGAATACAGATAAAAACTGATAATATAATGCATGAATATACCTGTACATCTATTTAATATGAATGTTAACCTTGAGCGAGTGTGGAATAATTCGTTGTCGTTATTGTTTGTGTGTGTATTAATTAAGCAGAAATCAATAATTTAACCATGGATTTAAAAATTACTGAGGATTAATTAAATCGAATTAAAGTTATTGCGCAAAATGAAGGCGTTCTGTCGTGCACATTAGAGATACAACCCGCAACCTCAGAAGGAGATGGGTAATCGGGATCACTGTTGAGTATAACCCTAAAAGGTGAGAAAAACAATCTTCAATTGGTCCTAAAAGAATCAGAATCCACAGAAAATAAGGCACTTATAGTCTGCTTAGAAATGAAAGAGTGTAATAAAAGCTTATTATGTATGCAAATCGTAAATAAATGTAGTACTGGTGCTTATATTCAATATTTGAATGATGAGGTGTACTTTTAAAAAAACTTTGTGTGACCGGGTTGTAAACAATATAAAAACAGCATTTCAAAACATGAGGCTACTTTAAGCATCATAACCGGGTTAAGAGGGNCCAACCACACCCAAGGCAATTACCACTAGGTCCGGTAGAAGGGTCCGTTTCCCTGACCGACTGCAAGTTCCGTGATGGCATCCATACTGGCAGGGGGGTGAGTGGGTACACATGTTTGCAAGTGACCCATATTTGAAAGCACAACGTCAAAAGCGCCGCAGGACGCCGCCGGACGAACCAGCGTTCCAAGAAGGGCTGCTGGCGCCGGTCACCAGACGCGTACCCATGAACGACCGACTTCAACCACAAGGCACTCTCCAACGACTCTCCAGCTAATCCTCAAACCGTCAACACGTCTTTTTCCACAATATAGTTTTCAATAAAACAGTTTATTATTACCGTTGGGAAAGCGTTTTATTTCTTGCTGTACAGCGAAAGCAACCCTCAAAGTTAAAGATATAACGCGCTCGCGCGCATAACGATGTGCTGCACCTTCAACTCCTCAGCTGAGCACTTATACACCGCAAAAACTTCAGCGGACAATTTTTTTCCTATAACTGATTAATATGACTACTACTTTACCAAATTTCAGCTTTTGCGGTATCAGTTTACTAGCGCATATTTTTGACTTATTTAGATGAAAAACAAATTTTTTCCTATAACTGATTAATATGACTACTACTTTACCAAATTTCAGCTTTTGCGGTATCGGTTTACTAGCGCATATTTTTGACTTATTTAGATGAAAAGCTGAGGCATAACCCCCCACTCTAGTCAGCTGATTGCGTTTTTTCGTTTGTTTATAACATAATCAACATGTCGACAAAGTCTCAGCTTTTGCAGTATTAGTTTTTTCTAATAACTATTTTTCGTGTTTGGGAGGCTGCCGCAACTATACCCCCCGGAAGTGCGCGTCGATCCTCTTACTAGTAACACCAAATGAAGCGTATGAAAACTTTTCAGCTTTTGCTCTTTTGGTCATCGAAAAAGGT